CTGTGTGGAGGCCTCCGGCTTGCTTACACAAAGGAATTCCAACTAGGATTTCAAGGGAAGCCTCGCTCCCACTCCCCCACCGCTCCCAGCAGGCCGGTTCTGCAAAAAAGTATTCCCATATTCAGGATTCTTAGAGTATTTCTACGTTAAGTATATGCTTGAATTACAGGGTTTGATGCTGACCTTTTAAACTGACAATTCCTAGTACTTTGAAGGAACTTTCACACTGCACAACTCAATTCCTACGGGGGAGAAGGATTCTAAGTAAGAGGTATGTCCTTCTTCCTCAAGACTGGGTTCACATGCAGATGCAAGGAACTAACGTTTCTTTCTTCTTTCTCTTTTTCAAAATATATGCATTGAATGTGTAAGTGCCCAGCATTTTCCTTGCCTCTGAGGGTGCACAGATAAGACTTGATCACAGCCTTGAAGGGGCTCACACTCGCAAGACTAGAGAGAACGGCTGGGTTCAACTGTGGGCAAGTCTGAGAGAAGAGGGGCTGATGAGGGCGGTGGTGTTAGGAAGTCTTCGTGGTGATGGTGGTTGAGGCTTTTAAAATACAAAATGGATACTCAGAGAAGAATCATGTCGCTAGAAAGGAAACACTAAATACTTCCAAGATGCAAACAACCTGGGGCTTTGAGAAAAGCCTAAGAATTCAAGTAAGAATCAAGAGCTTGAGCAATCGGTCTTGGTCTTGTCAACAATTTACTGGGTACTTTAGGCTCTTCCTCCAAAGTGTTCTGTAACTGCAGGGTGCCTTCTAAATAGAAGATGAAATTATTATTATAAGGTCCATTTAAATAAACCTCTTATATGAAAACGTCACCTCTTTCCAATTTGTTGAAGTAAGAGAGTCATAATATTTATTTCATCTAGGGGGTGTGAAGCTTAGTTGGGATTAATTTACTTCATTACTCCTTCCAGGGCACTTAAAATTTTATATAATCCCACATGTGGTTTGTACGAACAGACTTCAGGAGGATTTGATGAGAAACAGTATGAATATTTCATCAAGTTTTTTCACCATTCTTTCAAGTATAAACACCCTCATTCTAAGTTTTCCAGTCCCATGTTACAAGGCACCTGGTCACTGTGAGAGCTTCCCCAGGGGAGTCCTCAGCCAGTGTCGTTGCTGCCTCATTGACCACCACAGAATCCGTCTGCAGCAACATCCCCAGCCCCCTGCCCCGTCTCCTCTACGCTTGAGGGATGTGAGATGCTGGCACAGCATGTACTGTTCACATGACTACCTATTTCCCCAAGTGGACTGTGAACAACCACAGGCCATCAACCTACTCATGTTCTGAATCTCTAGCATCTTGCACGGTAACTTGCAGAGAGGAGGTGATTACGTAAATGTTCGTCGAATGAATGCGTGCACACACACCCCTGCTCTTGTTAGAAGGCAAAGGCAGCCTGCGTCTTCTGACCACGTGACTTGCCCTCCTGTTTCTCTTCTTCTGCTGTTCGTCCTCACCCCCACATCTTCCCTTTGCTCTCTCCCTCACCTACTTTGATCTATTTGAGGCAGAGGTTTTCAACTTTGATTGCACAGTAGACTCACTGGGGGCAGTTTACAAATAAAATTAACACTACTGCCTGGCCCCACCAGCAGGGATTTGGGTTTACTTGGTTGGGGGAGGGGGTCCTGGTGTTGGTATTTTGTAACTGCTCCTCTGGTGAGGGGGGAATGCAGCCAGGCCTGAAAGACACTGATTTAAAGTGATACTCCAGTCTCATCTTCTCCTGAAAAGGCGACTGCGCCTCTGATGAGTTTACCTTCCTCTGGCTTCAAAGTAGTAACAGTTTCAACCACCTATGAGATCACAAATCAAACGCTGCCTGTGACAATACCTTAATATTTGTTTGTTCTTTAATTCACACACTGCAGTTGGGTTCACCTCCCATCTTTAGACCAGAAGAGCCCTGAAGGCAGGAACTGTGTCTTCTGCTTATTTGCATGCACGCCATGCACGTGGTGAGCTCAAAGACATATTTGATGATTAAAAACTAAAAGCAAAACACCTAATAGAAGCCATTTTAACTCTACTCTAAGATATGTCCTTGGTAAGAATAAAACTGCTGCAAAAAGGGTGGGGCAGGATTGAAGCAGAGGAGGAAAAGAGTAAATAAAAGTCAAATGGAAAAAAAAGCTAAATTAGTCCAAAAGAAAATGTTTCCCAGCTTCTTAAGAGGGTTTTTGCAAACACTGACGCAGAATAAACAAGAGAATTAACTTGGCTTGTGCCCTGATAAGGAGATTTCTTTCTTGGTTATATAATTTTACAAAGTTTCCAGGGTGTAAAGAAAATAATCACCCAGGGGAGGACTCCTTGCCTTGGACCATACAATTCAGCCCTTGGGTTAATCGGCTCGCAGATCTGCTCAGCTTGACCTGACCCCCTTCCAGCCCTGTGGTCTCAGACTAAGCCTCACATTCAAGAGCCCTGGTGTAGAGCTCAATGTCACAGAAAGGGGATAAAACGTAATCCTTAGTCCATAACCTTGATCTTTTGGTGCAGTGGCCTCTGCCTGTGCATTAAGGAAAAACAAACAAACAAACAAAAAAAAACCCCATCCTAGTATATTCTCCAAGTGGCTGGTGTTCCACGGGTCTGCCTTATTACCCCAGGATGATCCAGGCAAGTTTTTCCTCTAAATTGTGTTAAAAGGAAGTATTCATCGGTGCAATTACCATAAAGGCTAGCTTGAAAGTATTGTCCTTTGCACAGATCCCAGAAAAGGTTTCTCTTCATGTGGCTTCTGTACTTGGTCATGAAGCAAGACCACAGGAAGGGCTCACTGAATCACTAGGCACCCTCTGCTATGGCGAGATAAGGTCATCAGATAGAGACATGTTTTCTATATCAAACTTTATCCTGGTTATTAGGCCACAAATTTAACAACCGGTCCAAGAGGCAAGCACCTTTCTATAGAGTACTTAATTAAATTTCTATAGATTAATTGGTTGGCCACTGGTCATATTTTACTTTAATTTCTAATTATTGTTTGGAAACACAATTCAATGGCATTTAACACTGCTCTTGATTGATTGGTAATGATAGTAACAAGCTGTCCTTTGTAGATTAAGATAACATCACTGACCCATCTAATAGGATATGAGTTGATAGACTGTCACTGATCTATCCATGCTTTGCTCTTGGTTCTTCTCGTGACCAGTGGCCTGCATTTGACCTTATCAGCCAAGAACCCAAAGCCACCAAAAGCCTCCAGTCACCAAAGAGATACAAAATAATAGCATTGGTCATACCAGCCACTTCCTGTTGACAGGGACAAAATGGAAAGGACTGGTTAATTGATTAAAACAAAAGAAAAAGAAAAATGTGGCTCTAACTTCTTTATTTCTTAATAATTGCTAACTAGAATTAGTAAGATGAGGGTCTGGGAACCTGGAATCCATGATGCCGTACATAATAAGCTGAATCATAAAATCAGTGTGTGCCACCTAAAATCTAACACAGAGCTTAACTACAAGTTTTCAAGGAGTGGGGTTAAGGATCCATGACAATGACTGAATTCACAAGGAGTTTTGCTTCCCCAAATTAGAGTTTAGGTAGTAGTGCTCGACAATCCTTAATTATCTCCCTTGCAGCTACAAACAGGGCTTATTTAACATGCTTTCTAACTTAGGGTACAAACCAAAGGTCATTCAGTTCCTCAGGAACATTTTTGGATGCATTCCACCGAAAGAGAAGTAATGGGTTTAGAACCCACGATACTTGAATCACCGGGGGAAAGGTACCACTGAGGTAATGAGCACACCAGGGCCTGAGAACTCAAGAATGTTTCCCTAAAGGAAAACAAGCAGCTCCATCCTCTCAGAACATGGCTGACTCAATCATCAAGCTGGAATGTTATTTACACAGTCCCAAGCAAACTAAGAATCCTCTGGTCTGTAACCAAGTGCACTCAGAAAGTTATGTCTGGAACAGGCAAAGGTTTGTGTCTGTTTTTGATGATTCCTGAGTCCTTGAAAAAGAGCCAGTTTACCTAATGCAGGCAATGGGCAACAACTCCCTTCCCACCACCTTCTCCAGAAAGACCACCAGGGTGGTATTTCATGCCTCTCTAATTAACAACTTGGATTTGTGATGTATTTAGCAAGATGGGCAAATCTGGGTTCTGAATTCAGCCCCATCTAACAAATCAGAATAAACATCCTGTCTTCTTCTTACAGGAGAGGTCGTGATGGAACCTGGTCCACACAGCACGGTAAACGTGAAGTTAGACATCAGAGAAAAATAAACTTCCTAATTATGAAACATTTTACCAAAGGGGTCAGACTGTGCTGTTCCTTTCTTTGGAATGGAAGGGAAGACTAAGAAAGATGTAGAAAGTAACCTTTCTAACCTTTCTGGATGAAAGGAGAGGGCAAGTCTCACTTGAGTCTGGGATATAAAGTGTAGATAGAGAGCTCAGAAAGAGTCATGATCCTTTTGGATAATCTCTGGCATCATTCAGTACTCTGAACCACCAGCTTATGAGTTAATGCGTAAGTACCCAGATCTGAGGAATAGTTTATTCACTTAGCAGGATCTGTGGTGACCCGAGGATTTCAAAACAAACTAACCTCAAAAAAAGGCATCATCCTTATTTGATTTATACACAAATTATCTAGCCCTCAACAAATACCAGCTAAGGTTAAATGATCATTCATTCATCCTTTAGAGGTAGAGAGTTTGAGATCCCTAGAGGTGTGGACTGTGGTCACTTATAATCTGTTGGCAAATATCAGGGGGCAAGCTAACTCTCTGGGGTCTATTTTTATATTTTCTCTCCTCTATGTGACTTGTCTCCCCACGTTATAATAACCACTACTGAGGCAGGAAGGGATGCTGGTTTCTTTACCCACCCGCTGACAGTGTTGGCCCAGGACAGACAGCGTGGCCAGTGCTTTCAGAAGATGATCACTCTGTTTGCTGGTACATCTTGTCCTCTGACCTTGACAGCCAGAGAACATTGTCCAAGCCCTCACCTGTCTTCGCTCTGAACCAAGGTCCTGGAGAATCAGCCGGGTGTTCACACAGTGACTCCAGGTGTTTCCTAGTGCAGCTGTCACACAACTGGACCCAGAAGTGTCTGAAATGAAACAGGGCAAAACCATGATTATGGACACCCTCTCTCATACGGTGTTTCACACAAACAAAAGTCCATTCACTGCTCATTGCTCAGACAATACCTGGCAGACTGGTTCACTACACAGAATTTGATGAATTAGAGAAGGAGGTGGGGGTTAAGGAATATGAGACTTAAAATAGAAAGCAGCATGAGTTTCCTTCAGCCTCGGGGAAAGTGACCACCTCTGGGCCCAAAGATAACAGAGTTATATATCAATGAGACATTGCATTGCAAGGCAGCTTGGAGCCATTGCTAATAATAAATCAAGCCATTCAACATGCATGGCAGAAAGGCACAATGCTACTATATAGAATAAGAGCCAGTTATGAAACAGTCTTAGTTTAATAGAGTTGTAAGACTTTCAGCTTGATAAGAGTCTTAATTCGATTTTCCTTATCAATATAGAAATGGTGGCATATGTATATAAAATTCCTATGCCTTTCTAACCCTGGCACATACACACACCCAGAAGAGGAATCTGGAAGATCTCACCATTTCCTATCTAATCTGTATTAGACATTCTTATCCCAGAGCAACATTCTTTTACCTTCTAAGACTCTCCTATAAGGGGGAGGATGTGAAGTAAACTATCTGAGCTTCTGGTCTACTCCAAGTTGCACTTCAGCTACTATCTTACACCTCCTGAGCTGCAGTGATCCACCCTGACATCACCAGGAGGAGACATCCCTGTGCTCCTCCTCTTCTTGCTCGTTAGAGGCAGGCTTGCAAGTCCTGCCACTTAGAAGCCAGCCCCCCACTATCATACCCGGCACATCCCGAGGTCTCTTCCAAACTCCTGTGCCTACTTTGGCCCTCAGCCATGGGAGGAGGCCTAGTGTAAGGGGATACAGTGGGGCTTTTAGTTTGCCTTATATCCTTTTATATATTGGAAAGAGATGGAAAGATGCTACCTCTTTCCAATGGGGAAACTAAATACAGAGAGGCTGAAATCCATTGAATTAGCTAAAACAAAATGAGGCCTTGAGTTTCTCATTTGTTGCCTGCTCACGGCGTCATCTGATTTTTCACCCTCTCCATGTGGAATATGAACTGGTCTTCTTTTCTGGGCCAGACATCTTTCAGGGTGGTCTCTCAATTCTGCATGGCCTTAAGCTCCTGGGCTCAAATACAGTCACAGATGAATGTGGTTCGGTGGTTCTAGGTTGGAGGTGCTTTTGCTGGCAGCGTCTAAGGGAGCGCTGTGGTATCCAGAGGGCAGAGGCCAGTGATGTTGCTAAACACCCTCTGATGCACAGGATAGCCCCCACAACAAAGAATCCAGCCCTGGGCCTTACAGTGCCGAGGTTGGGAACCCATGGGTTAGAAAAAACGAGGATCTATTTTCTCTGGTTCAAGCAGGCACGGAAATGAATTAGACAGAATCAACAACGGGGGCCTCAACAAGCCTGAGGATTTCAGAATGAGGGAGAACTCAGGGCAGGAAAGGAGGAAATTTAGGGTGACCTTGGTTCATCATGCACACAATTCAAAACACACACAAATTAATTTGAAAACAAAGAATCTAGACTGTGCTGATCTGATCATCCCGCTCCCTTACTGAAAATCCTTTGGCAGTCCTTGTGCTTGAGGATAAAACACTAACTGCTGAACGAGGCGACCTGGGCACGTTGTGATCTGCGTCTGCATCTGCCTCTGGCCGCGCTTCTCTAAGCTCTCCCCGTGGATGGTCCCGCAGCCTTCTGACTTCTCTGTCCCCATTCTCCTTCATCTCTCGTCAGCAGTTGATAAAGCTTCCCCCTCTTCTGGAATCCAATATACCGGCCTCTTCTGCTTCTCCTTGTACCAACCATGCTGATTACTCCTTTTCCTTCTCTGCTTTTCCTCTCCCTCTCCTCTGAGTTGTGGCTGGACCTCAGGGAGCTGGCCATGACCAAATTTCTTCCTCTCAAATAGCCACATGCATCAGTGGCTAGGAAGGCAATATACATTAATAAAGAGGCCAAGTGTCTTCATCTTAACATGTAGAAGCTCTTCACTACCACAGAGAGATGTACTTTCTTCCATTTTTCTTGAAACACACAACCCTCTCAGTCTATCTGCCATTTGTACACACAACCCTCTCAGTCTATCTGCCATTTGTTCCTTTTTGATAGAGACACACTAACAGAGAAATTTTTTTTCTGCTATAAGAAAACCAACACCACAGGGGCAATGGTGACTGATGTTCCTTTTTCTTGCATTTTTACAAAACAGCTTTGTTGAGATAATTCACACATCATACAGTCCCCCCATTTAAAGTGTACAGTTCGATGGTTTTTTACTATATTCAGTGTTGCTCAACCATCATGACAATCAACTTTAAAACATTTCGTCATCCCAAGAAGAAACCCCATCCCCCTGAGCCATAAGCCTCCAGTCCCTCTTTCCGGCTCTGCAGCCCTAGGCAATCATTAGTCTACTTTTTGTTTAATATGAAGTGTTAGGAGGTGATGGGGAGTAGTGGAGGCGGGTCAGTTAGAGAATTCATCCATGGTCTCCAGGGGATAACTCCTGTCCAGGTCCAGCGGCTCTGAACATATGGCATATGTCCATATGGCAATGAGTTCATGGTTAGCCACATCTTTTGATCTTTTAATTTTGAAAATCAATATTTTAAAATACAATCTCCTGATGGTAAAAGGTTGGCTGAATTTAAAAAAATTTTAAGAAATGCATAAATAAACATGCTTATGAGCCACATATGACTCATTGCCACCAAGTTTGCAATGTCTGCTCCATATGGCGTGTCCACACCATCGACAACGATGACACCCCTACATGGATGATTTCTAAGCCTTTGTCTCAACCTCTCATTTGCCCCAGCATCTGTCCTCCATTTTCAACCACATTATGCCTGACATAATGAATTCTGGTACCATAAATTCAGTATCTTTAAATCAAGCTCATAGCTTCCCATATCAACTTCCTTCTCTTTCTTTGTCCCCTTCTTTGGCCTTGTAGTTAATCTGGTTTGAAAACTCAGTTCCATTATGAAGTTTCTCCATCTCCCATGCTTCTCAACTCCAATAAACTGCGAAGTCTTATTGATTTAACTATAGAGACTCACCGACGTCCATTCCTTACAATCCACTCCTCCTACCCTAACCGAGATCAGACCCACAGCAGCTTTCACCAGGGGATGGCTGCTGTCGCTTCCTAACTTTCTAACTGCTTCCACGCTGCTCTCCATTTCTCCCTACTAAAGCATCCTCTCTTCTTCCTGCCTGATTAATCTCTCCAAGAACACATCTAAGCAGGCTACCCTGCCACTTATGATCAGCATGCTCAAAAATTTTCAGTGGCTCCCAAGTGCCTTTAAAGAGTTCTAAATTCCTCAGATTGGCATTCAAAGCTCTTGCAGCCTGTGTCCAACCTGCCTCTCCACACCTCTTCCCTCCATTCCACTTCATAAAGAGTCTGCTCCAATTTAATCACTTCGTCCCCACATCCCCTCCACACCTGGATGCCTCTATGTCCACAGGTAGTCTTCAGTACCACTTCCTACATGCCACTTCCCTGATCATCACAGAAATAATGTCTTCATCCTCTAAACTCCCATAATCCTTGATTTTACTCTCATGTTACTGGCATTTTCTATCCTGTGGTATGTTACTAGTGCACTTTTCTTACCACCCCTGATATATATTATAAGAGGGCCAAATCTATGGCTGATTTATGCTAGAATGCCTGAACCACAAGGTCTGAGACTGAGAGAATGCTTAATAAATAATCGTTAAATAGTCAATAAGTTATTTCTACTAAACTTTGAATCATGTTATATATTTGTTTTAGTGGCAGATTTACATTCTTAATTCTTTCTTACTTAAGCCAAAATTAATAGGTTTACATTTTTTAAGCAAACTCTAGAAGCTTGTTGCTTAGATGCCCGCTAGGTGACAGGGTAAAGTGAGCCTGACATTTAAAGTTTGCCAAGGAACAGCTACACGTGAATAATTAGGAGCTGCTAACTAGATAAGCACTCAAAAAAAGTGTTTTTGGTAATAAAACTGTAGGTGCTTCCCAGGTCTGGATGATGTTTTCAGGAGTCAGAGCCACAGCTGACCAGTGGTGACTATTTAAAGAACTCCATGTCTCTAAACGAATGAAAATGGTATTAAAAAAAACACACTTCGCTGCTTTCCGGACAGGTAAGCTCAGGTCCTTACCAAGGGCCATGAGCAAAAATGACCACGAAAAATTTCCAACAGAAACCTTGAGTGAATAAGCTTGAGGAGATATAAGTCTCAGGAGTGCTTACAAACATTAAGCCACCATAAAAGCAGTAACAGCAGGCCCCTGAAAGTTAATGATAAAGAGAAACAATGTTTTTAAAGTTCTAAAGTTCTATATGCTTGGCACCAGGTAAGTCCTTTATATCAGGAAGGCTGACATCTTTGTTTGAGCTCCATATCTCAGCTGCATCTTTCTTGATCCTCACAACCACCCTATGAGATAGGTAATATCATCAGCTCTATTGACAGACTAAGGCTATAAGAGATTAAGTAATTCTCCCAAGGTCACGTGTATGGTTAATGACAGAGCCGGGGTTTGAGACCAAAGCTGACTGAGTCTTAACCAACTATTCCAATTAGCCTTCGCCAGGCTCCTTATGTCAAAAAGCCTGCTATTCTGCAGCCGGGGTAGGGTGGGGGGTGGGGGTGGCCAGGAAGGGCTTGAAGAGCCCAGAGGCTCATCTCTAGAAAGACACTGATGGAAGTATTCTGTGAGCATGTTATCAAATCATCTGAACTCTGTGTGTCACTCAGGCTCTACACTCGGTTTCCTTTGTTCTGATGTACAGCGATAACCTGGGGTAAGGGGTTTCCAGAAAGAGGATTATGCATGCCCTGGCTTGGCAAGTTATTTAACCCTGCTCAACTGGCCCAGCAGCTGGATTCATGCAAATCAGGTGGCCTGAAACTGACCCTCTCTGGTGGGAGGCTTAAAAATCTGGTCAGGAT